GGGACAAGCAATTCTGCAAGCGTTTAGGGTTAAGGGCACCACACTGATAACAGCCTACACCTTGAAAAAGTAGTCTGAATTTGACAGCTCACTTCCCGTAAATGTAATCTCTAAAAATGGTCCTCCTTATGATTCTAATTTCCAACATGATATGTCATTTTGTAATGTGAGATAACTAGAATGATAACACACACCACAAGATGAAACACAGTCTATTGTGATTGATCAGATGCAACATAACGCATCACAGGGCAATGCATTTCACTTGAAATTTTAACCCAAGCTATGTATATGGAAAACTGCAATAAAAGAGAAAACCTATATCTCATCTAGTAGAATTGCTGAAGATTTGAGGGCTATATTTATCCTATTGTCTTGTTAGCAGAACCTGCTGATGTGACACACACCCATCTACCCATACGTCCAAAGAGGAAGTGATGTTGCTTTTCCCTATCTAAAAGGGAAATTACAAATTATTTTTATCTAGGTGCCTTTTCCACAAAGTCTTTCTTACATGTGTATCCTTGCTGGATGACACTCAAGCTGCCTTCCCCCTCAGTTCACTCTAATTCATCAATATTTATCCTGACAAAGTTTTGCCTGGAATTCCAAAGTCAGTTATAGTGCTGTGATTGTCACTGGATGAAGCAGGAAAAGATATTGCAGTTATACAGATGCATATAGAACGAGCATATTCTCACTTCTGTTCTGTATCCAGAATTTTAAACTAACACTTTTGTTACACCTAATGCTATTAGTGTTAATGAAAAAAATGCCAAAATGTCAAAACATTTTCTGCAAACTTATTAATACCAGTGCTACAGGATGAGCAGTAATGTCTTCAAACTTAAAGACTGTAGATTTAGATTATATATTAGGAAGAAATTCTTCACCATGAGGGGCATGAGGCACTGAAACAAGTTGCCCAGAAAAGTTGTGAATGCCCCATCCCTGAAGTGTTCAAGGCCAGGCTGGACAGGACTTTGATCAACCTGGTCTACTGGGAGGTGTCCCTGCCCATGCAGGGAGGTTGGAACTATATGATATTTAAGATCCCTTCCAACCTAACTACTCTGATTTAATAATAATAATATGTCTAGGAGTGGGGATTAAGAACTTTACTCCATATTTTGTATTGGGCTTCTGACAACTTTGCCTTTCTATTTACATAAATCAGTAAAAAAACTCCCCTTTGAGCTGTTTTTGAAGACCTGCTAAGATTTTGCTAAGAACAGGCCTTTTAATTCTCATCAATTTCTCCTCTCTTTTCCAAAGAAAGGACCATGCTTTTACTTCTCTAGAACAGAGAATAGAGAAAGCAGCCTTCAAGACTTATTTTTTTTTTTTCCTTTTTTTTTTTTACATAGGGTCTAAACACTCCATGCAGATTTTGGGAGGTTTTCCCCCAAAATATATACATAGGACCTTTTCCAAGGGCTATTGAAAGGCCTTTAAAAGCTTCTTATTTTAATGATTTTACAGTGGAACCTAAAGAAAAGCAGTGCTGTAAGAAGAGCAAATATATGATTTGACTGAATAGAGAATTTCTAAAATAAAGAAAATACAGGAAAAAATAGAGATAGGTAAAGTGTTCTGGAGTAGAAGAACCAGAACAAGTTTCAATGTGGACTAAACTTGGAAGAATCTTTGAGTCAAAGAGAAGGCTAGACTGAGAAAACTGAGAACTGAAAGGATTGGAAAAGATAATATTATAACTCATGATTTCTTATCCATAGGTAAATCTGTAATGTTTAGAATAACCTCTTTTTGAAGACATACATAATAAAAACAAATGTGGTGGTAGAGAAACAGTTTTGAATTCCTGCAGATTTGCTGAGCTGTGAATTCAGAAAAGGTAAACCTCTGAAAGAGGGAATTTAAAAGCATTTTAAAATGCAACATTTAGATAAAACAAATAAACAAATAAATAAGTGGTTATAATAGAAAAATAAAAATAAAACAAAATATGGGATAATCTGAAATATTCTCTTCCATTTTTTTAAATTTGAACAACAGAAGCTGTTACCTGTCCTACCTTACTCCTAAACACTGAAACCCAGAAAGAAAAAACAAGGGACAAAAAAACCAAACCATTTTACACTCCTACAAAATTACACATATTTATATTTCAAAGAATCATTGCATTCTAATTATTCACAGTACTGCTATGACTTTTCACTCTACTTTGAATTTCTTCCCCTTAATAGCAAGTCTCCTTGCTTTCTCTTTTAATGTAGCAATACTACAGAATCTAAAAGAAGAAAGGTAAAGAAAGAGAGAAAGAAGGATAGACTGAGAGTGAAAAGCCTGACAACTGTGTAACAAACAAGAACATAGTAGAAAAAAAATGTATTGTACTGAAGCTGAAAATTCTTTTTGAAAAATGTCAGAAGACCAGGTAGATTATTAAGCAATACAGTAAGATAATTATTTGTTTGCCTTGTTTGTACAATATTAACTACCTAATTTGTAAGGCATGGTGATAGAATTTAAATGCTAATAAAATCTTAACTGAGCTGATGTAATCACAACAAAACAGATTTTATATGAGTACATATCCTGTGTGGAAGGAACAAAATACCCAGCAGGACCAGAACCCTGGACTTCCACAGGGCAAACTTTGGTCTCCTCAATCATCTATTAAGGGAAATCCCATGGGACAGGGTGCTAGAAAATAAAGGAGCTCAAGATAGCTGGTCAACATTCAAGGACCACTTCTTGCAAGCACAGGATCAGAGTGTCCCAATGGTTAGGAAATCTAGTAAGGGTGCTAGGAGACCTGCATGGTTAAAGAAGGAACTACTGGGCAAACTTAAGTGGAAAAGGAAAATCTATAGATCATGGAAGGAGGGGCTGGTCACTTGGGAGGAATATAGGACTGTTGTCAGAGGATGTAGGGAGGCAATTAGGAAAGCTAAGGCCTCCTTGGAACTTAACCTTGCAAGTCAGGTTAAGGATAATAGAAAGGGCTTTTTCAAGTACATAGCTAGCAAAACTAGCAATAGAGGCAATATTGGCCCATTGAGGAATGAGGTGGGAGCCCTGGTGACAGAGGATATAAAGAAGGCAGAGGTGCTGAATGCCTTCTTTGCCTCTGTCTTCACTCCTGCAGGGTCTCCCTATGAGCCCCAGATTCATATAGCCCCAGAAGAAGTCAAGATAGAGGAAGAGTTTGACATGGTAGATGAGGATTGGGTTAGGGATCAGTTGAGTAATCTGGACATCCATAAATCAATGGGTCCAGATGGAATGCACCCAAGGGTGCTGAGGGAGCTGGCGGAGGTCATTGCTAGGCCACTCTCCATCATCTTCAGTAAATCATGGGCAACAGGTGAGGTGCCTGAGGACTGGAGGATAGCAAATGTCACTCCAGTCTACAAGAAGGGCAAGAAGGAGGACCCGGGTAACTATAGACCGGTCAGCCTCACCTCCATCCCTGGAAAGGTGATGGAACAACTTGTTCTTGTGACTATCTCCAGGCACATCAAGGACATGGGGGTCATCAAGAGCAGTCAGCATGGTTTTATCAAGGGTAAATCATGTTTGACTAACCTCATAGCCTTCTATGAGGAAATTACTAGGTGGATAGATGATGGTAGAGCGGTAGATGTGGTTTATCTTGATTTCAGTAAAGCATTTGACACCGTCTCCCACAGCATCCTTGTGGATAAGTTGATCAGGTATGGGTTTGGTGACCAGGAAGTGAGGTGGATTAGGAACTGGTTGAAAGGAAGGAGTCAGAGAGTTGTAGTCAATGGGGTAGAATCTGGTTGGAGGTGTGTTACTAGTGGAGTCCCACAAGGGTCGGTGCTGGGACCGGTGTTGTTCAACATCTTCATCAACGACCTGGATGAGGGTATAGAATGTACCCTCAGCAAGTTTGCTGATGACACTAAGCTGGGAGGAGTGGCTGACACACCAGAAGGCTGTGCTGCCATTCAGAGAGACTTAGATAGGTTGGAGAGTTGGGCGGGGAGAAACATGATGAAATTCAACAAGGGGAAGTGCAGAGTTTTACATTTGGGGAAGAACAACACCATGTCCCAGTACAGGTTGGGGGCTGAACTGCTGGAGAGTAGTGTAGGTGAAAGAGACCTGGGGGTCCTGGTAGACAGGAGGATGACCATGAGCCAGCAATGTGCCCTTGTGGCCAAGAAGGCCAATGGCATCCTGGGGTGTATTAGAAAGGGTGTGGTTAGTAGGTCAAGAGAGGTTCTCCTCCCCCTCTATTCTGCATTGGTGAGGCCACATCTGGAGTATTGTGTCCAGTTCTGGGCCCCTCAGTTCAAGAAGGACAGGGAACTGCTTGAAAGAGTCCAGCGCAGAGCTACGAAGATGATTAAGGGAGTGGAACATCTCCCTTATGAGGAAAGGCTGAGGGAGCTGGGTCTCTTTAGCTTGGAGAAAAGGAGACTGAGGGGTGACCTCATCAATGTTTACAAATATGTAAGGGGTGAGTGTCAGGGGGATGGAGTTAGGCTTTTCTCAGTGATTACCAGTGATAGGACAAGGGGTAATGTGTGTAAATTGGAGCATAGGAGGTTCAAGGTGAATATCTGGAAAAATTTTTTTACTGTGACAGTGACAGAGCCCTGGAACAGGCTGCCCAGGGAGGTTGTGGAGTCTCCTTCACTGGAGACATTCAAAACCCACCTGGATACGTTCCTGTGTGATGTACTCTAGGTGACCCTGCTCTGGCAGGGGGGTTGGACTAGATGATCTTGGAGGTCCCTTCCAGCCCCTAAGATTCTATGATTCTATGATTCTATGAAACTCAGCTCCAGTGAGCCCTGCCTTCTTACCCCCTAAACCTGCACTTCAAGACTCAATGGGTGAAGTTTGGCAGCTTCTCTACCCAAGTGCCACCTGGAGCTGCAGAGCTCTGCACCTGCAGGGGGAAGCCCCAGATCTGCTGAACATGCAGCTGCCCAGTGCACCTGCAGGTCCCTGCCCAGGGCAGCTCCCTCGGGAACACCAGCAGGGCAATGTCCCCGGCTCACCTGAGATGTAAAGAGCTGATCTCTGTCCTTCGCTGCTCAGGGCATGTCGGACCGAGCAGGAGAGCTCCTGCCTCATGCCCTTGGTGAGGATGATGCTGCTTTCTGCTGTGAAGAGGCCGCTCTGGTCCTGGGTGATATTTTCCGAGAGAGACGGGAGGTGCTGGCCCTGGGGATCCTCTGGGGCTGTGGGACCCAGCCGGACGAGCGGCAGGACACCCGGATCCCCCCGTCCTGGTAGCGCTGCAGGGCCAGGCGGGGGGCAGAGCCGCTGGCTGCGGGAAACAGAGAGTGCTGGGTGATCCTGGGGAGCCACAGAATCATGGAATGGGTTGGTTTGGAAGCAACCTTAAGAATAATTTAGTCCAACCCCTCTGCATGGGCAGGGACACCTCCCACCAGCCCAGGCTGCTCCAAGCCCCATCCAACCTGCCCTTCAACACTGCCAGGGATGGGGCAGCCACAGCTTCCCTGGGCAACCTGGGCCAGGCTCTCACCACCCTCACAGCAAATAATTTCTTCCTCATGTCTCACCTCAATCTCCCTCTGCCGCTTTTCATCCATCCCCCCTTGTCCTCTCCCTCCCTGCCCTTTTCCGAGGTCCCTCCCCAGTTTTCCTGGAGCCCCTTCAGGCACTGGAAGCTGCTCTAAGGTCTCTCTGGAGCCTTCTCTTCTCCAGGCTGAACACCCCAACTCTCCCAGCCTGTCTCCAGAGCAGAGCTGCTCCAGCTCTCTATTCTTCTTTGTTACTTCCTCTGGACTCACTTCAACAGCTCTATGTCCTTCTTGTGGGTGAAGCCCAGAACTGGACCCAGCACTGCAGGGGGGGGTCTCACCAAAGCTCAGTAGAGGGGGAGAATCACCTCTCTTGCTGGTCACAGGATGGTGGGTATTGGGAGAATAAGGTGGCCTGGCCAATAAGGTTCCCCTCCCTGACAAGAAGGGCTGAATTTTGACAAATCCCAGGGGGTTTTGAAGACGTGTCACCTGGAGTCATGAAGTTTCTTGCAGTCATTTTCACATAACTCAAAGATCTGCCCTCGAGGCTACTACTGCAGCAAAACAACCTGCAGGCCTGGTTATTAAAATATAAACATGCAAACCAAAAGATTCTTATTACATTACCCAATGCCAAATTTTTCCTCATACCCACTTATATTAAGAAAATAACATCAAGAACACTTCTGAAGCAGGTAGCACACCTCACGAGCAACTTGTGGCTCCTCAGTGGGCAATTTTACCTCTCTGAGATATTCCTGGTATTTTCAACCACAGGACTTAATAAAACCATTTCCAAAGCAACAACCTGAAACCACTGCTGGGAAGGACAGGGACGAAGATTCAAGCAAGTAAACTGGAGGTCCCAGAGCCATGAACTACAGACCTGTCACCTTCAGCTCCACCACAGCGTCATCGTAATCTGGGTCACGGTGAATAAAGCAGGTGTAATTCCCTCTGTCAGACAGTTGGACACGGAGAATTTTCAAGTCCGCGCTGCCCCTGGCAAGGCCGTCCCGCGGCAGCGCCGTGCGGCCCTGGAACTGCAGCATCTGCTCCCCGTACTGGTCCTGGCCCCCCTTGTAGCGATGCACGAAGGGCGAGAACTGCTCCCGAAACCAGGTCACCTCCAGGTCCCCGCTCTGCCCTGGGGAGAAGTGGCAGGGCAGCACCACATCCTTGCCCACGGCCACGGTGATGGAGCCGGGGGGTCCTGTCACGTTGAGCAGAGCTGGGAGAAACCCCCGGGGGCAGAAGAAACAACTGTGAGGTTTTTGTGGAGTCTGAGAATCATGGGATCATAGAATGGTTTGGGTTGTGAAGGGACCTAGAACATCATCAAGTTCCAACCCCCCCCCCCAAGAGCAGGGACACCTCCCACCAGCCCAGGCTGCTCCAAGCCCCATCCAACCTGCCCTTCAACACTGCCAGGGATGGGGCAGCCACAGCTTCCCTGGGCAACCTGGGCCAGGCTCTCACCACCCTCACACCAAAGAATTTCCTCCTCATGTCTCACTTCAATCTCCCCTCTTCCAGTTTTAATCCATTCCCCCTCATCCCATCCCTCCCTGCCCTTGTCCCAAGTCCCTCCCCAGCTTTCCTGGAGCCCCTTCAAAAAAGCCTTCTCTTCTCCAGGCTGGACACCCCAACTCTCCCAGCCTGTCTCCAAAGCAGAGCTGCTCCAGCCCTTGGATCATCTCTGTGGCCTCCTCTGGACTTGCTCCGAGAGCTCCATGTCCTTATGTTGAGGGCTCCAGAACTGGACACACCACTCCAGGTGGGGTCTCACCAGAGCAGAGGGGCAGAATCAGCTCCCTGGCTCTGCTGGCCACACTTCTTTTGATGCAGCCCAGGATGTGGTTGGACTTCTGGGCTGCAAGTGTACTGCTGGCTCATGCTGAGCTTCTCATCTACCAAGACGCCCAGTTCCTTCTCCTCCAGGCTGTTGTCAATCCATTCTCCCCTCAGCCTGGATTTGTGCCTGCGGTTGTACCGACCCGGGTGCAGGACCTTGCACTTGGCCTTGTTGA